CCTACTTATCCCGCTTGGAGTGGCGAACAAGAATTCGCGCATGATCTGTATGAAATGCTCCAGACTCATTTACAGTGGTTTCTTCGTAGATACGATGCATTGAGCGCACGTGTGCATGGGTTTCATTCGTTCCATCGAACACGATCAGAGCTATCTTTCTTTGCTGGCGTCGGTAAGTTAGCAAAATGGTTGATAGGTAGCGCTACAGAGGATGACATCGAGTATCTGCAGGGCCAACTTAATGATATGCAGATTTCCCAATCCCATCTTTCGGCTATTTTGGATGACAGCATCACCATAATAAAATTAACTCGTATAAATACTGAATTAAATACTAAGCTGTTGCAGCAAGTGATTGATCACAGTAATTTTATCGCCGATCGGGTTCAATATATAACGAGGGAATTAGAAGATTTTGAGGGGTATACCTTGACGGAATTTAAATATTTAACCCGGATATATTTAGCCACAAATGGTCTCACAGTTGCATTTGATGAGCTACAATCAACCATTGATGCAATAACACGAGCGGTCGATACTCTAGTAGGGGGTAGATTATCAAGGGACCTCATTCCACCCCATAACCTTTTACAAATATTAACAAACATTCAATTACTCTTACCCCCAACTCTTCAGTTGCCACATACACCAGCAGAGTCACTCTTAAAATATTACGAGATAATAGAGGCAGTCGTTATACCTTCGCCGCATGGATTCCATGTACTCGCGTCGGTACCGCTAAGACAGAGGGAATCCTTATTCGATATCTATGAAATTCTAACCCCTCTTGTTTATTTACCAGGTGCAAATTCATCACTAGCAGCCGCAGCACGATACAACGTCGCCCATAAATACCTAGGGGTTACACCCGCCCATGATTATTACATACAGCCGGATATTCATGAGACGCTAATGTGTTTGAATAACGATCACGATTTTTGTCCATTAAATACACCAGTCTACCCATCGTCTCAAATTAATTCGTGTGGGATGGCACTTTTCCGCAATTTAACATCAGAAATTAATATTAAATGTGAGAAGGTGGTCGTCTTTTCGGCTAGACCGCGACCGGAGGCACATTACTTGTCGCATGGAGTTTGGGTAGTAACCACGCCGTTTCCGTTTCATGTCACGTCGTCTTGTTATGGCTGGGATACGGAGGCCCCACGTGTAACACAGCACCTAATTACTAACCAACAGTTGTTAACGTTAGAGTCAGGCTGTAAGGCTCATTCCGATTATTTTCAACTGCCCTCGTATTATGTTCATCAATCTAGGGAGGAGGTTGAACCGCCGTCGTTTCAGCTAGATACTTGGCCTGATATCCCACAAATATGGCAGCCATTACTTGAAACAGAGGGGGATCCAGGAGCTAATGCAACGAGCAGGATGTCTCGCATGCATATGGTGGTGCCCAACACTTTGTATACTCATTCGGATTTCGAAGTGGCATTCAGGAAGTTAGAGGATTCTATGAGGAGGAATCAGTCACTGCTGCATGAGAGAGGTGTTGTGTCACGCGCTACGGCATTCAACGCGCCTATGCATTATGCTTCAACCTATGCAGGTTTCGCTGCGCTAGCGTTTGTAATAATCGCAATATACTTTTGCGTCAGGTGCTGCGGATGCAGCCCCTGTCAATATTGCCGTCACAGCGGATCACGAGCTCTAGCGTTTGTAATAATCGCAATATACTTTTGCGTCAGGTGCTGCGGATGCAGCCCCTGTCAATATTGCCGTCACAGCGGATCACGAGCAACCGAGCGTCCGGCTCAGGTCAGAGAGTTGCGGCAGCCGTTTCTGGTGAGGCCGGCATCACCACCTCGTGCTGTCGTAACGCCGACTCAACCGAGCCTGACGTTCATACCTGCCACACCGCCCCCCCACACCTCACGTCTCATGCCGTCAGTGCGTATAACGGGAGTTATGCGACCGACATTGCGCGCTACCACCCCACCCTTACCGATACTGTACCCATCCTTTGAGAATTCCGGCGTGCCCAGATCCCTAGTGGTATAGTAAGGTAATACTTCGTTACGAGAGTTAGCAGATCTCGACGGTAACGGTATACTAAGAAGAATTACGGATAAGATAGCTAAGTATGGAGCTCGCAGTAGGTGTACGTAAAGGAAAATCAACGAGAATTTAAACTGTGGGAAATGCCGGAACATATTGGTACTTGGCTGTAGTAGACGGCCTAATATGATTACTAAACTATGTATTACTAAGAAATGTATTACTACGGAATGTATTACTAAGGAATGTATTACTACGGAATGTATTACTAAGGAATGTATTACTAAACAATGTGTTACTAAATTGTAATTCGCTAATCAGTATGTATTGTTGTTGCAGTAGACCAGAGGCAGTCCGTATGTATGTAGCGGACCTTATAATACGTAGAATACACATAAGGATGCATGAGTGTTCAGGGACAAAATACTAATGTTAAATGTACTACAGTCCCGATTAATTGAGAAACGCGGTTGCGAAACTATAATGGCATGGCAATTATATTCGAATAGCACCAGCAACGGAATGCTCAGGTGCATTAATAATAACGAATCTCTATTACTTCACTACCTTCACAATATCCGTACCTAAGCTGCAGCTACTGACCTTTCTCCCCTCACTGCCATGTAGTTTTCAACGATACAACGACGACCACCAACAACCAACAACGATCACCATGAACACC